TTTTGTCATCATCAAAAAGGGAGAGATTGTTAGAACACAGATTGGTTCTTAATAATATTTCTATATTTTGATGATAACTATTAGGAAATTTTGTATTTAAGAATTATATACTCTAAAATTTGCTTGAGAGTTTTTACTACAGATAGCAATAAAATTAACACTCCAGAAGCAAATCTGAATGGTATACAAGAAAGTAACTGACTCTGAAGCGCCAGATGCATTCATTAGAAGATTCTGATTGCTGCCTATAGAAGATCCTGAGCGTAGCCTCCAGAAGGATCTGAAGCAAGAAGCTCCAGAAGATTCTGAAGCAGAAGCTCCAAAAGAATCTGAAGCAAGCAGAAGCATCTAAAGCAAGTCAGAAGCATCTGAAGCTAAGAAGAATATTGTATGAAGAGTTTTTTCAAAGCATAGTTTCTACAGAAGATTCTGAAAGTACTAAAGCTGCCAGTACTGAAGTTCTGTGTCAAATATGCTCTGATGGTTTACACGCTGAAAGCACACATGCTGCAGAAGACTCTGATCCAGCAAAGTTCTGATCACCATCAGAAGACTCTGACCCAATCAGACTCTGATGAACTTGCTGAAAACTAAAGAAGAAATATTCAAAGAATATATCCGTTGGAGTAAATCAAACGTATCTTTCCTCATTTATGCTAGACACAAGAACACAGACAAAAAGGATTTTTCTGTGCTTTCTTCTTCTAGGAAAGGTCACTTGATGTGAAGACAAAAAGGCTCAGACCTTTTTGGGACACTCTTCTCAACGTTTAGCTCTCCTTGGATCAGCTGCCTATAAAAGGAAGACTCCACCAAATTCTTCAGTGAGACATTTTGCTGAAAAGAAATTGAAACATTCAAGCTCTCATATTCTCATATTCACTCTTAGAATTATTTGTACTTAAACTTAAGAGAAATATCACTGTTGTGATAAAAGCTTTTTAGAAGCATTCATACTCTTGTATTAGATTTACATTAATTGTAAAGGATTTCCTTAAGAGGATTCAGTTGGAATCAGTAGCTCTTGAGAAGACTAAGAACAGTTGTTCTTAGGTGTTACTATTGTAATCTGTTTGATTAAATAGTGGATTAAGTCCTTGTTGAGAAAGGCAAATCACTCTAGGAAGGGTGGACTGGAGTAGTTGAGTTCAACGAACCAGGATAAAAATAATTGTGTTTTTATTCTAATTTTTTAATCTTCCATACTTATTCAACCCCCCTTCTAAGTATTTTCTCACCTTCAAATGTGTATACCTTGTATGAAATGGTATGTGATGAATGATGAATATATATGTATAAGGGAATATATATTGTGAATGCATATTGGTTTGTATGTGCTAATATGAGATGAATCCATGAAAACATTATGAATATGTATGCATTTCAAGAAGTGTATGAAGTCATTTTGCATGTGAAGCATCATGATATACATTCTTGTGCCGATTGATTCCGCGTAGAATCTGCTGAATGATTGTGTGCCCATGTGGGGTGTGAGCAATCGAATTGTGTGCCCGTGTGGGGTGTGAGCAATCCATAAACATTGTGTGCCCATGTGGGGTATGAGCAATGGGTGAACATTGTGTGCCCATGTGGGGTGTGAGCGATGGTTCCAATAAGTTCCTGAGTGAACTTGAGATGATTGAGTCGGTACCGCATGTGCATCTGCATAGAGTCGTGAGTCGGTCTCTATGAGTTGCATTTATCATCATGAATTGTGTATTGGTAAATAAACATAATTGTAAATGTTTATGTGAAGTGATGAATATGTTTAGTGTGGATATATACATTGTGATGTATATGAATGAATGGTGAATATATGCATGATGAATATGCTTGGTGAATTATATATATATGATTATATGCATTGATTATTATGATAATATTTCTCACTCTTCTGCTGTTTTATGATACTCTATGAGGCATTGCAGAGTAGGATTGTTGGGGGTCTTTTTGTGAAGTGTGGCTTCATTCTTTTTGGTCGGTTAACTCTGATATGTAACACCGGGTAGTTAGGATTGTATAGAATTCTTTTGTGATACATTTGTATATGTATCTGCTGATGAATGTTTATGGAAACATGTTGAATGATGATGTGAACCAAACTGAATGATATGTGTATATATATATATATATATATATATATATATATATATATATATATATATATATATATATATATATATATATATATATATATATATATATATATATATATATATATATATATATATATATATATATATATATGTTTGAAGTGATTCAATGTTTAGATTTTCCGCTTTAATTCTAAATATTGAGATGTGGGTGTAAGGACTAAGTTCCTCTGTTTTGAAAGTTACCCCAATGTTGCATATCTTGTTGAGCAGGTGTTGTATGTTTTAATTTCATGGATAATGTGACATACCTCTTTTATACCATGTTTCAAATATACTCTGATAAATGAATTTTTATATGTGCCTAAATGATTTATTTGATTATTTGGGGGTATAAAAAGGGGGTGTTACACGTGGACTAACCCTATCAGCAATGGAAGAGTTGAAAGATCTAAAGCACTCTACAACCTCTAAAGAGAATTCAAAGCAACAACACTTCAAGAAGGATCCAAAGTAGTAGAAGGGGTTGCTTTAGTTTCTACTGGCCATATTCCCCACCTTATAAGCTGGAGCGCTACTTCCTCCTTCATTGAATCTGCACACAATCATTATCATAGCAAACACACCATGAGTAATAAAATTGAAAGCAAAAAGGCCAAAAACTTCCAAAACTTACTGAAAATTATCTTCCTTTCTTCCTGGGTAAGGACCTCCATTAGCAAGCAGGTATCAATATGGCGTTTCAAGTTTTTCTAGTCGGCCTTCTCCGGAGGAACACCGCCTACAAAATAACCTAGGTCATTGATGAATCTTATAAACTACTTCTTCTGGTACAACTCTTCTTAGGAAATATCTTTCTCTTCGTATAAATATAACCAATTTCCCATGAGTAAATGACTCTCGTCCCAGTGCTTAGGGAATAACTCAACACATTTACCCTCTACTCCATCTCAACCAATGCAGACTATTGCACGAGTTTATGGAGGGATAAGGGTAATTAGAAAGAATCGATCCTCATACCATTACAAGTTCTCAGAAAAATCCCTAAAGCCTCGAACAGTAGACACCAGAGAAACTAATACTCTACCCTGTGTCTGAGTCGCAAAGCCACAATGAGATCAGAAGAGATGAAAGAAAATGGTTAGAGAAGGTCCCCTTCAAATATTCGCACTGATACTGGAAGCCTATCATATACGCCTAGCTTGTTGGATGAAATTGTGACGGAGTCACCAGCAGATGCTTAAGAACTTCCATCTCAAAAGCATTGAAGGGCAGACAAAGACCTGAGATTAAAAAGGTGCATTCATAAAACAGAATGGCACAGTCGCCATACTCAATACATATTTTGTCATTTTCTCTAGGGATTAAGCATTCTTATAGAATTTTTAAGAACTCTTCCATGATTATTTTACCCATGATGTACTAACTTTTCCAATTACAGGAAAGAAAAATATTAAAAAGAAGTAGGATAACAACAATCTGGGAAAGACAACCCAAAGAAATGCGAAGTCGACTCTTCAAGAATCGTATGCTAGCATGCAAAAACAGTAAACTTTATCAAACGTGTCAAATCACTTACACGCAACACTCAAGTGTTTCAGTTTTAAAGAGTTATAATGAGGGTACTTCCGAAAAGACGTTCGAAGTATGAGACATTAAATGCGCGAATTCCCAAGAAACTACAACATTCACTTTTGCTTTTTCAAGATAAACGAGAGTGCGGTCGACAATAGAGGCTAATATGAGGAACCATTGCCTTGTTACGCATAAGCAAGGGCTTGGAGGCAACTGTTATGGGCCGACCATGTTGATCCCAACCGACCACTTTGAAGGAGCTGTAATCCTTTTGGAATCTTCTCAACGCACAAGAACTATCCAACTGATGAGCACAAAAGATCCAAACTTCATGTGCATCTAACGATTCTCCGCAATACATTTCTAACAAATTTTAGTTTATTATTTCTCCCCAATTATATATAAAGAGCACACAAATTTAAATATTCAATTTCAAATCACTCTTCTCCCTCACATACTGATTTAAGAATTAAAGTATTAATCTTGCAGATCAACCAATTGGAAGCTCGCGTTTATCTATACCTCTAATCCTACTCTATTTGTAGTTTATATAAAGATCAGTAATCAAATATCCTTACATACTTTACCAATTGAGTTGACTTATTTGAACAATGATTTTTGAAATAACATATTACATAGATGTTATTAAGTATTAGTAGAGAAAAAAATATTAGTCAAAATTTAATGAAAGAAAAGAGTTTAAACAAATAATAACATTGAAACTATGCGTTTTAACCGTTTCCGAGAAACACAGAATTATCTTCTTCTACACAACGTTAGGGTTTGCAGAATCGCTACTCCCTTCGTTTATTCGCACCGATCAGCTTTCTTGAATTTGAAGGAGAGGGCTTCGAATAATGCGGTTTCGTCACCTCAAATTGAATTCAAAGAACGATACACTACAACGTCGCGGTTCATCAATCGTTTCGTTTCGGCTATAACGCGCCAACCCCAGAGACAATGGATAGTGTCGTGCGTCCACTGCATGATAGTTTGTTCCTTCCATTGGATCACGTTCTCAAGTTCTGACCACAGTTTCCATCCAGTGATCAATTTCATAGTTCCCCTTTGTCTCAGTTAATATTGGTAAGGGTTGTTAGGTTGAACCAAAATGAGTTTTTTTTTATGCAATTAAAAAAAATGGATTTTTTTTTGTGATTTTTTTGGCATTATTGGTCATGCAAATTGCAAAACATAGCTATCTGGGTTTGAAAAGAATCATTATGGATTTGGCATTGTGGGTTTGCAAAATGTGATTTTATTTTTCTTTTTCTGTCAACTGAGTGAATCGAATTATCTTAATTATTTCTTTCGATTGGGTGAAGGTTTTTCATGGATGGTGATCATAACGAGTTAGGTAGCGTGCGTGAAGAAAATGTTGTTGTTGGAGTTGGACCTGAAACATCGAATAATTTGGACTTGAATGTGGAGCAGGACTGTGGCAGCCCAAACATTGTTCATGGTAATTGCTCTCAATCTGGTGTCACATCAGCAAATGCATTCTGCAGCAGCACAATATTGGGAATCGGTACGGTATTTGAGTCTGATGAACATGCGTATAGATGTTATAACAAGTATGCCAGATTGATGGGTTTCAATGTTAGAAAAGATTGGATAAATAGGAGTAAGGTACATGGTATGGTGGTTTCTAGAAAATTTACCTGCTCCAAAGAGGGATATCGTAGGACAGATAGAAGAGATTGTAATGTGAAGAAACATCGAAAGGAAACAAGAACTGGCTGTTTGGCACACATGATCATCACTCGTCAATCAGATGGAAAATACCATGTCACCCATTTTGAAGCACAACATAATCATGGTGATGTAAATCATAGCAATGCTAACATGTTATTACTAGATTTGCAAAACGAGATTAATGTTGCTCAGGCTGTGGAGGCTGCGGAGGTTGACTCGTATAATAGTTTGGGGCCAAAATCTAGGTCAGCATTAAAGATGATGAATAAAAAATTAGGTGCACGTGATTCGCTTGATCAACTTTCCATGAATTATGACAATTACCTTCATTCTGTAAGGGGAAGAGATATGGGTAAAGGAGAAGCAGGGCGTTTGCTGGGTTATTTTCAACGACAACACTTTGAAAATCCAGCATTTTTTTATGCCCTACAGCTTGATGCTGATGACAAGGTAAGTAATATATTCTGGGCTGATGACAATATGGTGGTAGACTATGATCATTTTGGGGATGTTGTTTGTTTGGATACAACTTGCAGAACAAACCGAGCTCTTCGGCCACTTGTACAGTTTTTAGGTGTTAATCATCATAAACAAGTAATAATATTTGCTGCTGCTTTTTTGTATGATGAGACTGTTGAATCATTTAATTGGCTATTTCAAACTTTTATTGGCACAATGTCTAGGAAAAAGCCAAAAGCCATTATCACCGAACAAGATGCTGCAATCATCGAAGCAATCAATACTGTTTTACCTGAAACAATCCAGTATACATGTGTATGGCAAATGTATGAGAACACTGTGACACACCTCAGCCATTTTGTTAAAGATGCTAAATCCTTTGCAAATGATCTAAGGTGTTGTATATATGGCCCCAAGAATGAGGAAGATTTTACTCATGCTTGGGAGGCTATGCTGGAGAAGTATAATCTTCATCAAAATGAATGGTTGAGATGGATGTATAGAGAAAGAGAGAAATGGGCTGTTTTCTTTGGTCAGAATACATATTTTGTAGATATAAAAGGCTTTCATTTAGGTGAGATTTTGTCTCTTAAGTTTAGAAATTATCTAAATCCCGACCTTGATGTAGTTCAATTTTTTAACCATTTTGAAAGGGTTGTAGATGAGCAACGATATAAAGAAATAGAAGCTAGTGATGAAATGAAGAGATGTTCTCCAAAGCTAATGGGTAATGTGGTTATGTTGAAACATGCAAGTGTTGCCTATACTCCAAGAGCATTTGAAGTATTTCAGCAAAGATACGAGAAGTCTTTGAATGATCTTGTTAACCTACACAACAAAGATGGATCTTTGTTTGAGTATAAAGTGAATACATTTGGCCATGCAAGACAATACAGTGTCACCTTCAATTCTTTAGATGATACAGTTGTCTGCAGTTGTATGAAGTTTGATCATGTCGGTTTCCTGTGTAGCCATGCACTGAAAGTTCTTGATAATAGAAACATTAAAGTAGTTCCATCTCAATATATCTTGAAGAGATGGACAAAAGATGCAAGGTTGGGAAATAGCAGAGAGCTTAAGCAATGTAAAATGCAAGATAACCCTAAGATGGTTGTAGCAAGCTGTTACAAAGATTTGTGTCACAGACTTGTCAATTTATCCGCAAGAGCTTCTGAATCTGTGGAGGCTTATCAATTTGCTGCGAAGCAACTTGATGAAGTGATGGAAGGAGTGCAGAAAATCTTGGCATTGAAAGGTGATGAAGCCCAAGTTATCACCTCAAATAGTATTCATGTAGATGCTTCAGAAAATGAGCCTGCAGAAATCTTTCCGAATGGACATGCAACGGAGAATCAAGATGAAAGTAACAGAGTAAGCACAGAAGTTGTCAGGATTGCCACACCAGATAGGTGGCAAACAACGGTGAATTATAATCAAACTAATTCAGATAGAATCTTAAACGGAGAACCTTCTCCGAATACTGTTCTCTGCATTTCAACCCCCGCATCTCCATATGTTTCACCTCAATCCGGGACACCAAATCCCCTTTTTCAGGTAAGCTTTTATCATTTATTTGATATGGTGTTATATCATTGTGATCTTATATTCATATTTGATTAGATATAGAGATTGTGAAGCTTGATGCTCATCAATTTTCATAATGTTGTTGATTTTCTCATCTGTGTTATAGGACTTATTCGGTTTTGAAGCCAATCAAGTGGTTCAATGTATGTATGAACAGCCTGATCTTGTGTTGGACCATCAATCTGATACTAACCTGTTTCCACCGCCGAACTTCTTTTCTAACCAACAGAACCCTCCTTGCGGTTCTCAACTATCGCAGGTGTTAATCTGTCCAGTCATTAGGTTCTTTTTATTTAGAATACGCCACTTTGCATAACATGTCATGAACATTTTACTCAGGAGCCTATAATCCCGAACACATACCATGAATCCATGCCAATCATTAATCAGACGCGACAGGTAAAACATTTACTTAATGTTCATAACTTGAACGACGCCTACTCAGATTTGTGGAGGTGAACTAAATCCATCTAGTTTGTGTATATTTGTTGTAGGGGATGGATCTTGATATCCAAAATCCTGTCTCTTGCTGTGTGACCATAGATACAGAAGGTCTGACTCTGCGTAACGGATTCGGGGACCATGGTTGAAACATATCCTGAATTGGCAATGCCATTGTTTTTGTTGTACAGTAAGGCTTGTTCTAGTAAAGTTTTCTAGTCGTAGCGCATAATCGGAAGTTATCTAGTCGTAGCGCATAATCGGAACAATAGCCATCCTTTTTTTTTTTTTTGTAAATAACTAAATATGCATCAATTAGATATTAAAGGATAGATAGATACACAACTTCTGCATTGAAACTTAAGCAAGAAATAGTACAACTAAATGCTCCTTATGAAAAAGAACACTCTGTTTAACATAGAACATGTTCTGGAATTAATTCTAACTTTAAACATATTTAAATATAAATTATTTTATATTTGATTAACTAATTTTTGTTAGTAAAATCAAACACTCTTGTGAAGAATTAAATGAAGAGGGTTATAATAAAATAAACTTTTAAAATAAGAGGCACCCAGCCTTTAAAACACAAGCACATTTTGGATTGACCAAGTTTCTCTCTTCAATCCTTACCTACCTCAGTTATAGCATTATATTTCAGTTGTCAAAACAATCGATTAATTAGAGAAATAATCAATTATTGACGTTGAATGTCTACAATCACTGGTTTTGTGATAATGAATATGCATACATCCAAACTCAAAAATCAAATCAATCTGTTTGTGATACTTTAACTTTTTTCTGTTGACAAGAAGTAATACAAACAGTAAGTTTAAACATTGAAGGGTCATTCCCAACAACTTCAAAAAGCAAATTCTTGATAAAAATTCAGCCAATTATTATTTGAAATACACAAGTTTTGCATAAGGGTGAGATGTATGCGGCCTCCGCCCCAAGCACTTGTATTCTTCTTGTATGCTTTGTACATACTATTCTTAGCTATGTTGTTTACACAAAAATAAATTGTTAAAAAATAAAAAATCAAGAATAATTAATTTACCAGGGCACATAACAAAACCAAATATTTCAATCATATCCTCATAGATTGGATCAATCACCAAATATATAAATAGATAAAATCAAATTCGAGTTGAATCAAAGATTTAAACGATACAGAGTCTCTTATTTGAAATATTAATGATCAAATTAAAAACTTTGAGGTTTTTTAATAGCCCAAAATTTTAAAGCCTAAAACTCTTGCTTGGGTTGCATTATCCTTCCTAACGTCCTTTATCTTATTTGTTTTCCTCTCAATGTAAGTGGCTATGTCAAAAACATAAATGAATTATTGAATCTTCAATACACACGTCTTCTTGAGTTCACTAACTCAACTAAGTGTGACCGAATCCAATAGTGGGGGAAGGGTGTTTCTCTAACAAAAACATCAACCCCAAGAGGCATCCCCTGACCTACTATATATATGGTCCAGTGAAAGTCATCCTTTTCAGACTGCACAAAATTTGAAGTTTTGAGAGATTTGGGGAAAACTTCAAATATCTCGTAAGATTGTTTAAAGGAAATCAATCCTTGAGGAAATAAATTAAAATTCTATATAATATAAAATAAAGGGAAGAAGACTCAAAAGAAAATTGGAAGTTTAGATAATGATACACTATCACTGATTAAATATAAATATGACGATGCCACTTTATGGTATCACAAAACCTATATCTCAAACCTCGAAAAAGGAAAATACACCCTCATTTCCCAAAACACCGCATCATACAAAGGAAAGCAAAGACGGGATATTCAAATATAGTTTGATCGAAATGACATTGAGCTTCGATAATCAGGTCACTAGAAGGCTCACCTATCTCTACAATCATTTCATATGAATCTGAATCTATAGGATCGAAGCTATGAAGCACAAATATTCCATTCTAATTAAAATATTAGTACTAGGTACATCCCCGTACCAATTTTTTAAATATTTTTTTTTAAAAGTTGGTACACCAACCAATATACATTTGGTATCACGCACCCAAATTTTTTAAATTTTTTCATATGACATAATTTTGGTTTTTTTTACTAAGTAAAAATTAAGTTAATTATTCTATTTATCCACTTATTGAAAAGGAATAGGCTAAATCTAAAGAGGGTTGATAATTTAGTTTTTGTTCATACAAATTTCTGTCTTCTCTCGAGAAAGAGTAAGGTTTATAATGAAGGAGCAACAAAAATGTGAGATATTGATAAAAATGAATGAAATCCATTTGATGGAGCTGATATTTTTAAAGTTGTTAGTCATTCTCTCGATGAACCTGAACTAGAAGTCATTCTTTTTAATGATATTGGAGAGGAAAATATAGATATTCAACCATGACTTCATGATTTATTGATACTTTTTAAGTATGATTTATTTATGTCATTGCGAAGATATTAACTATTTTTGAGTAAATTGTTTTTCAATATTAATGTTTTGATGTTATTTACATAATACAATTCCTTTGTTATTTTTATAATTGTATTTAAAAAACTATACTAACGTAGCCGTGCCATGATTTTTCTAAAAATGTCGTACTCTGTACCAGTACCCGTATCGGGTACTGGATACGTACCCGTACCTATGTAATGTAGGGTCGAAGTATAAAAACAACGCCTCCAAATAAGCAATGTCTACCCATGTGAATCATTCAAGTTCACCTTGATCCCCTAATGGCTTTGAAAAAAGATATTTGATTGTCCTTCAAATTACACTTGTTCACACAAAAAAAAAAGTGAGTCTGAGGAAGAAACTCTGCTTATCTGCCCTTCCTTTTCAAGTGAAAGGGTTGAACACTAGAATTTTTTCAACATTATTGATCTTTTAGAGAAAGTTTCTTAAGCGTCTACTCTAACTCCCTCCAAATGACCAATAACAAATAGGAGGAGAAATGGGGAACAAATGACTCAGGGAGCTTGTTGAGTGAGAATGTGGACAGAAAAAGGTCTAGAAGGGGGGGAGATGGTTGAATAAACCTATCCTCAAAAAGACAATTTCAAAAATATTTTAAGTATCATAAACAAAATAAGAGATTTTAAGAAACATAGAAGTAAAATACAACACTAAGAGAGCTTGTAAGCATCTCAATAAATTAAACGAATAAAATTATTATAAAATATCACTAAGGACTTTATTACTTCTAATGCAAATCAATAACAAGATAACCAAAGTCGCTTTAAACAATGTGATTTAAAAGCACTTTACATAAATGTTCATTCAAGACATAATTGAACTTATGGTGATTCAATAAGATAGATGCATCACAAATCTAAACTTACACATTAAATCCCTATAAGTACGATCTAACCAAAATAACATACAAATGATGCAATAATGCACTCACACAATAACAATATTAATGAATATTGTAATATTAAGGAGATAAAGGAAGAGAGAAAAGATACACAAAGATATATAGCAGTTCGACGTTCGTCATCGCTTTGTCTACTCCACTCCCAATGGTGTTAAAGAACCATTGGAAAATAATCACAATATTCCACTATTTTGATAAGTTTAATACAAATATTTTGATTACAACGAAATATCACATGATAATTCCCTCTATTGATGCAAACACTCAAATTGCTAACAAAAAACAAGTCCATAAAGATTTTGATCCAATAACCTTGCTATCCACAATAGCCTGCTCCAAGTATTCGTGTGTGCGAATCCACCTAATCCCATCAGTTTCTTGTCTGAGAGGTTGTCATTAGCTAAGCGTTGATTATACAACTCCTAACTTTGTTGGTGACCAAACCTTCCACAATCTCACCAAAGTTGGACGACTTCCAACTCTGCCTTACGGACAATCTATACTAGATTTAGCCAAAGTCTTCCATGGGTATAATGAAACTCTCTTCTTGATAGATATCAATAAGATCCAAACTACATTCAAGAAATGAAACTTGCACTTGTTACAAACATCAAACTTCACACAAAAATATTAGATACCCTAATTTACCACTACTCTCTCTCAAACACTCAATCTTTAGAGATGATGGTTCACAACAATGGAAAAAGACTAAGGATGCATATGACAAACAACGCCAAGGAATCTCACATACACTCTAATTCATACGATGTTAATTTTAAGGAATAAAATGTAGGAGAATGAAGAAGGCATACAAGGTTCTCTCAAATTTCTAGACAAATGGGCCTGGGTTCTTGATGAATATCATGAGCTTGATCAATCATAATTACAACAAGGTTCATCAACTCATTGTCTCTAACTTCCTTAAAAAAACAAATTACACAAGAACAAAGTGTAACAAAAAAAAGTGAATTTGACATGGATTAACACTCGAGAAAGTGTTCTAGAAAACAAGAGAAAGATTGAAGGTGTTAGGATTAGACACACTTGAGAAGAGAAGAAAAATTGACATTTTTCCACTATGGATTTCACCCACATAGTTTAACATACTTACTTTGGATCAAAGAAACAACTATTTAAATCTATTGTATTTGTGAAGCTATGATTTGAGTCAAAAAGGAATCATGATTCAAGGGTTTTATCATATCCACGGGGATCGGTCCGACATCGAGTGTCGTTCAACGGTTTATACGTTTCTAAGCTTATGGTTACAAAATGGTTCCAATATTAAAGGTACAATAAATAAAAGCGGAAAATATTAAGACACAAAATATAAAGTAAAGATATAAAATAAACGGAGCCTTGTTAGGATTGGGATTTCATCAATCGATAACACATGCATTCTTATGACCAGTTATACGTAGATCAATCATTCGTCTAATACTATCACGTATCGCTCACATCAATGTTCATGTCTGAAGCGCTGACAGGAGTTCTACCTTATTGTCTCTACGATGATGTCCCGTGCAACTAAATAATAAGGAGCATTAAGATTCGATACCCACAATGAATGTTAGATCTAAATATATCTCTAGAGTTAAGAACCTAACAGATGCATATCCTAGATCGAGATTTGAAGAATATCTCTCAATAACGGTTCAAATCAATATGTAAAACAAGTAACCAAGAATAACATCCATATCAAATAAACGATTAACTCATATACAACGCCATGGTCAGAATACTTACAAATGATTAACCCTTTTTAACATGTATTCAAATTATTTAAGTATGTGAACATACTTTATTATCACGCATCCTCACAATACCGTTTATGTCTAAAGCGTTATTGTGGGCTTTACCGTATTAATCACTAGATGATGTCTCATGCTAACAATCAACATAATAATATAAAAGCTTGATACTAATGAATATCAACTCACAAATCTATGTCTAGAGTTTGCTCGTTAATAGATGAATATCTTAGATCTAGGATTTGAAAGAGATTTTTGAACATACACTCAAACCCATAAATATGAAATCAAAGACAACATCAATATTGAATCAAAACTAGTTCACAATACAAAGATTATAAGAAATACATAAGGTACCGATCGATTACATCCAAACCCCAACAAGATATCGAAACACTTACTCGAAGATCAAACTCTGATTTCCTTTGATTTTGGCTTCTCCCACTTAGGGTTTCGTTTCTCTCTCTAAAAGTATGTTTGGATTGAAGAAAGATAAATTTCTATCTAAAATATCTATGAAAAACTATATAAATACAAAACTGAAAAAGTGGAACCAGGCTAAGCCCAAAATATAGGGGTAAGTGGGATTTGCTTGCTTTAGCTACTGCATTGATCTTCAAAGTGCGTTGGAAAGTGGGCTAAGCGGGATTCGCGCTGCAGATTGGGCTAAGCAGACATTAGTATCAAAATTTCTCAAAAATCTCTTCTAAACTTGCTAAATTGAAGCCATGATTTTGCCTTTGATTGCAATGCTTCAACCATGCATGAATACCTACAAAAAGAGTTAAAAACGATCAAAATAAACAATATTTACACGAACTAACAAAAGTACGCTATAATACTAAACGATTACTTATTCAAACTAAAGTCGGAGTTTTCACTAGTAAAACCAATGAATCAATCCAATAAGATCCAATAAACTACACACATATTTAACACAATTTTGCACTTATCAAACTCTCCCAACTTAAACTTATTTGTCCTCAAACAAGAATCTATCAACCTAAAGAAACAAGAGAAATTATCAAGAATCATGATCAAACAAGTTTTTAGAAACATAAGCAAATGAATGGTTCAAATTTCTAAAGCACAAACCAATAGATGCTTACCACTACTATAACGAAACCCTAACAAGTCTTAGGGGCAACTGTTCTGAACCGACGAAATGTCCAATACGAGAGCCCTATCATACATTGGCCAACCATGATGATCCAACATATATAGTCAACATACTTGAGATTTAAGATATACTTTTCTAGTATCCACTTTTTACTATATTCATCTGGGATTCTATAACTAACCTAGACATTTGAGCGTTAAACTTGTAAGTCCATTCTACACCAGTGTAAAAAATCAATGTCACTCATTTCAAAATTCTACATCCGTCTAGTTCCAATACTAAACACCTATAAATAAGTAAAATTTTTCTAAAATCTTGAAGTATTGAATCCATTGCCCGAACACTTATTACCACTTAAATACACCTTTTTGGAAATATTTGTGCGTTTCCTAGAGATTTTGAATATAAAACTCAATCTTTTTCCTTTTAAGTGAAAGGTATGTCTCAATAAATAAGAGACATTGATCAAACAAAAGATATTAAATTGAAACATAAAGTCAAGTCTGATTAACTAAGATAATCTTACAATTTAAAAATATTTCATAATTTGAGTACCACATTATTCAAATGTCTAGGTAGAAAAAAATGACTAGTTTTCAATTTTCTTCCACACTTGTCACTATTTTAGAACAAGGGCCATGTAAATTGCGCGTGGGGTTGAACTTGGACTATAAAAAACCATGTTCATGACCGAGTCTCCGACACTCTTCAACTCTAACCCAAGCGTTCACACTTCTTCAACTACTTTTCCATCCTCACTTCTTCAACTTAACTAAATTCATTTCAATTTTTCCTCAAAAGTCAAAAAACCAATCGCCGTCAATGACTTGAACCATGGGCTTTTTCCGGCGACTCTTTGCCGCCAAAAAATCGTCTCCTCCTCCCTATGACGGTTCAAGTACCAAATCTGACAAAGACAGCACCACCAAGAAAAGATGGACCTTCGCCAAACAAAGCAGCCGGAGAAAGTCACTCCCACCGCCACAGCCGCCACCGTCCTCCGCCTTCACCCAATTTGACCCCTCCACTTCCTTAGAACGGAACAAACATGCAATTGCAGTTGCCGCCGCTACTGCAGCCGTCGCCGAGGCCGCTCTCGCCACCGCACATGCCGCGGCGGAGGTTGTCAGACTGACAAGCAACGGAGTGGGAAGTAGCTCCAAAGCGCATAGTGGCCAGCCACGGTTGCCGGAGGAAACCTCCGCCGTTAGAATACAGTCAGCTTTCCGCGGTTACTTGGTAAGTTTAAATTATATTATCTCTCTACATTTTTGTTTTTCTTTCTGAGAATTATGTTTTTGGTTAGTTTTCTTCCTAAGATTTCTCATAAAACAAATACGCTATTCAAGAGCACTTTGACGAGAAAGTAATTTTTCTATTAAAGAATTTGAGTTCCAGTTCATAACTGAGAGATTAGTCTGTTTACACAAATGATACCAAATTTATATTAAAAAAAAGTTGAATTTTGTCAAAAATAATAAAATGGTCAAATATTTTCAACATTAGTCTTTTTATTGAAAATCACGTTCACTCTCAAATTCTATATTAAAATTTAATGGATACCCCATCAAATTTTTAAAATATGTATTAGTAATAGGAATAACCCGGATGTATAAATAACATTTACATATTATTTATTATCTATCACTGAAAATATAAAGTCGGTGTCATTTTAACATACATCAAGAGGTGAGTGTAAGTGTAAAGAAAATCATTGTAGCTAATAGCTAGTGAAAGCAAATTGTTCCATAGACAACTGTAGTACTGGTCCCCTCCACACTAGAATACACTACATCTCATCAAATCTTGCTTCCTTCCTTAATTCTATCCTATTCGTATATTTTTTTATTTTACCTTTTTAACTAAAATATCTTTTACTTCATCATTTATTATAATTTTAGTGAGTATAAATTCAAATGAAGAAAAAAAAAGACACTGTGTGAGTAGAACAAGAGAGCCCCACCCCACATATTTGGTTAAATGTGTGTAGTATGAACAAATATAAACATAAATGAATTACTAGTATATTGTTCAAATATATTAATTATTTAATATATTTAAAAAATAATTTTCTTCTTATATTAAGGATGAGCATTTAATATTTAGATAAGATTAATAATATTTAGATAAGGAAATGTGAAAGTGTTGTGAGGAAGATACACCCATAGACAAAGAGTTATGATAGTTACCTTTAGATGAGGTAAACTAAAAATGGCCCTATTGTGGCCCTTTGCCAACCCATCATCAACCACGTTTAAGGTAATGGCCCCATATGTAGGGATGCTATTCCTTAATGTAGTGTCACAATGTAATGACCAAGTTGGTAACCACTTGTTTTGTTTTTGCTTGCGTATGGGTATTGTTACTCATCATGTCATTGTCTTTGCTTTGCCAATTCAAAAGGTTAAAAACATTCCTTTGTGGGAAAAATAGACTTCCAACTTACTTTTAGTTTAATGATTTTATTATGATTTATAACGTTAATGTGAAAAAAAGTAGTTATAGTTAATGTCACTAATTAACATACTATACTATTAGATAGAGGTTGCAAATTGCAATCATTTAACTAATGGACTTAACTTTTTGCTAGCAAATGTGGGAAGGTTGAACTTTCCTTGCTTGTCATTTAGAAAACTTAACATAAATTAGTAGTAAACTTCTTTATGAAGTTTTCTAAATGATGGTTTATGGTATAATTTTTCTTTGTCCTTAAGAAACCGGTTGATTTGATTTCGTTAATGTTGCTAATTTGGAAGGCGAGGAGGGCGTTGAGAGCGCTAAAAGCATTGGTGAAGTTGCAAGCGTTGGTTAGGGGCCACATTGTGAGAAAGCAAAGTGCGGATATGCTAAGGCGCATGCAAACATTGGTGCGACTTCAGACGCAGGCACGTGCGACTCGTGCGCATCATTTGTCATCGGATAATTTGCATTCTTTCAAGTCTTCGCTTTCTCATTACCCTGTAAGTACCAAACACTAACATATATTGTGCTTGTGTATGTTGTTTTAGGTTGAAGTGTGGTTAACATTGAAATAGAATGATTACTAGTACTAAGAAAATAATGATTTGTGGTTGTTAAACTCTCTTTTTTTATATTCTATATTTAAAATTTGTGTACTTAATTGCAGGTCCCTGAAGAATACGAGGACCCGCACTCATATCGTGTATGTAGTACAAAATTCGGTGGATCTTCCATCCTCAAGGTACATTACTATTCTTCACAAGATAAAGTAGTTATAACGCGTTTCCAAACAAACTTTTAGTTTTCGCGAAATCACGTGATTCGTTGTGATTCTGTCAACCTCTCGGTGATCCTAAACATACACTTAAATTACCGCGCTTCAATTGATTTTGTTTCTAAACTTGCAGAGATGTAGCTCCAATGCAAATTTTAGGAAGATTGAGTCGGAGAGACAAAGGTTTGGCTCCAATTGGTTAGACCACTGGATGCAAGATAACTCCGGTAACCAAATCAAAGATACTTCATTCAAGCATAAACATTCTCATGAAGATAAAATCGATAAGATTCTCGAAGTAGATACGTGGAAGCCACACGAGTCTCCATCGAAACACTCAACAAAACCTCAAAATCAAACTCCCTCATTCAAGTTTCACAAAGGAAAAGATCAAGAAACAGCATCGCGCACAGCTGATAATAGTCCACAAACATTCTCCGCGTCTTCAAAAACCGGAAACAGTGTAAGAAGAGGCACTCCTTTTACACCTACAAGAAGTGAATGTTCATGGAGTTTCTTAGGTGGTTACTCCGGTTACCCTAATTTCATGGCGAACACCGAGTCCTCAAGGGCTAAAGTTCGATCGCAAAGCGCACCGAGACAAAGGCATGAGTTTGAGGGATACATTTCCTCTAGAAGACCTTTTCAAGGTCTTTGGGAAGTAGGGTCTACAAATTCAGATCAAGGTTCTGATTCAAGGAGCAATAGAGTCTCACCTTCTTTGAGCCGTTTCAATAGAATTGGAAGTAACAATTTAAGGTGACACATTGCATGTGTTATGCTTGTGTACCAAGATACTTTTTTCACAAAAAAGAAAAAAGTAGATATGTTTTCTTTTGTTTGGTTTTTTGTGTGTCAGCTTTTTAAAATGTAACTACTTCATTTTTCTTACATGTACTCGTGTGTACTAGTCTTTTGTCCATATATGATCACAATTTACTTTGTTGACTTTTCAAGTGTGGTGATTTGTAAATCATAACTTGGTTTGAATATTTTTCCTATATTGGAATGTGACTTACATGAAACTAACTAGTGGCTAGCACTTTCATACCAAAGATGAGTTTTCCCTCCAAAGTGAAGAAAAAAGTTATACTTTATATGTCAATTTGATTTAAAGCATTCAAAAAGGTAAATGATAAAAATTTGCTTTTTCACTTTATATACAAATAGTACATATCTTTGCAAATAAATTATTCATATGGCCTAAAGTACTTATTTCTTGTTGGGATCCATGCTTGTATGCCTCAAAATAGTCATTATCGGCACTATCTCGCTATAGCGGAGTTGAGGCCGACCGCTATGGAAAGAGCTTTAGCGACACACAATACTATACCAACCATTATAGAATAGTTGATTGTAAGGACAATGCGGTTTTCAGTCTTGAGCAATCTAGAGCAGTTTCTGTTTCACTATTTAAAAAAAATAAAATCAAAATTACTCCTTAAATTTAACATGTTTTAGGATAAATTTTAGACTTTTCAAATAAATTTGAGTTGAAACACAACCCTAGCTTTCTTTCATCGACAAATTTCACTTGTTCCAAAAATAAATCACAAGTTTCTCCCTCACTTCTTTTTACACTTCGTTATTCCATATGCACTTCATATGTATAATCATTACTCACGTAATTTGTCCAAAATATGTTCAAATAAAGATCATTCTGCTATACACTATTCCACTGTCCTATTTTTAGAGTCGTCCGCTTTGTGCCGTTGATGTTTGCGTGTTTTGAATTTTTAACTATAATCACAAACAAAAAACCATGTTTGAGTTAGACCAAAATGAACGGTCGAGATTGAGTGACTAGAGAGGATCCAGATCCAGTATTGATATATCCGGTGTGAATTTTCGATTGCTAGATCTTATATATCTTTCTTTATATAGCTTAGCCTTTTGGTGGTCCATATAATCCGAAATGGATATGAAACAAAAAAGGACAAAATAATTCACACAAGTAAAAGAGAAACATGACACCATTACTCACATGTACCACTGTGAAGTTCTGTTCTTGATATTACGTGACGAAACTCTGGCATTGGTAGAACCGTAGTTCATCTTTCTGATCAAGTTTTGGCCCACAAAACAATCTCACTTGGAAGCACTTTTCTTTTACTGCTTTTATCAATCATATTCTACTATAAGATCTGAAAAAACAAGTTCATTTGAATTCTACCGTTAAACTTGTAGTTCAACAGTCAAAAAGAGTGTAAAAAAGCAACAGTTTGCATGTGATGGGAATTGTGGTAAATGCTTTCACCTGGACATACCGTACATTGAGAAGAGCAGGACCAATGTAGACGACAGACATTGGTGAATCATAAAATAGTACTAGGATTCTTTATTGAACATGTTCCATGTCCATGCCACTAGGTCCATTCTTTGAAAGTTTAGTCATGAATTGTTTAATAATTGATGGAGACATAGAAAGGGAATCATAGGATCAAAGAGAGACCTTAGTTGACGGATCAAACAATCATCAAACATCGATGTATGATACAATAATATACGTGGGGCTTAATGTATGATTTCTAAATTGATTTAAACATGCTTAAGTCATTATCATCACATTTAAACCCTCAACATGGAAGCAAAATAATTGAGTATTAATCTTTTGTCATTTCTATGTTCAAATCTGAACTTGTTAATATTTAGCAAGGAAAGTAAAATTTTGTCTCTAAGGCAGTCTAATTTAACGTGTTTGATTCTTCTCTAAAAAAATGGAGTTGTTGTAGAAAATGATGCAGGTTATAGATGTTATACTGAAAAATCTTTCAGGACATTAAATATTGGCCAAAGCTCCGTATTCAAATTCTTAAGAGGATCTTCTTGGGTCAATAGCATATTCATCCAAGTCGCATATTGGTAGTAGAAAAAAAAATAGAATTTGAGTATTAATATAAATAAAGATAGTTAGTTTTACTTTTTTTTACACAATAATAAAGTCTTTGGGTTGTTTTAGGGATTTAGGTAGTTGTGTGTTTAGAGAGAGTTTTCTATTTTTCTATTCAAAAATAGTTTGTTGAGAGGGTTTTCTATTTTTCTATTTAAAAATAATTTGTTGAGTGTTTGCAATTTTTCTGTCTAAAAATTGCATTTGAGAGAGAGTTTGCAATTTTTGCGTCTAAAAATTACAATTGAGCGAGGGATTACAATTTTTCCATTTAAAAAAATTGTAATTGGTAGGATTTGCAATTTTCTCCTTAAAAATTGTAATGGTACGGAAGAGTTTGTAATTTTGTCCTTATAAAATTACAAGTTGAATTATGATTTTATGAGTTTTTTTATTGTAGTTTTTACTTCTTTTTCTTTTTTGTGGATATACTTCCGCGTGTGTAGAAATTTGTTTTTTTTTTATTTGTTAGGTCAAATAGCATATTCATCTAAGTCGCACATCGGGTAGTATAAAAAATAGAATTTGAGTATTAATATAATAGAGATAGTTAGTTTTACTTTTTCTACACAACAACAAAATGTAGTTTTTCGGGTGTTTTGGAAATTTAGGTAGTTGTGTGTTTAGGGAGGATTTTCTATTTTTACGTTCAAAAATAGTTTGAGAGGTTTGCAATTTTTCGTCCAAAAATTGCATTTGAGAGTTTGATATTTTTCTGTCCAAAAATTGCATTTGAGTGAGAGTTTGCAATTTTTCTGTCTAAAAATTGCATTTGAGAGAGGGTTTGCAATTTTTTCGTCAAAAAATTGCAATTGAGCGAGGGTTTACAATTTTTCCGTTCAAAAATTGCAATTGAGCGAGGGTTTACAATTTTTTCGTTCAAAAATTGTAATTGGTAGGGTTTGCAATTTTCTCCTTAAAAATTACAATTTTATGAGAGAGTTTGTAATTTTGTACTTATAAAATTACAAGTTGAATTACGATTTTATGAGTTTTTTTGTTGTAAATTTTACTTCTTCTTTTTTGTGGGTATACTTCTGCGTGTATAGAAATTTGTTTTATTTATTTATTATTTTCTCAACAGATCTTGAGACTACTTGCTATTTTTTTTTGCTTTCCCAACTAATGAGGCTCGTGCCTAGGTAAAATTTAAAGCCTGTTGTCGATCATCAGTTTATTGGGAAGGCACCCCCAATTTGAATTTGTGAAGCGTGCTAAGTTAAAACTTAATTCATGTTTGAAGAAGAGTCTTAAGACTGGTGCATTTTCGATGTATCTCAAAATCCTTGTTGTTGAATACATGTGTATTGTTATTGGTTCTGACAAGAACTACTTGACCTATAAACATAAGAGCTAATATGACTTCTGAATTGTGTGGGATCAGATAATAGTTGATTATTTTCAATTTCCATCTTTTGACCAGGATCCATTAAAGAATATGCAGGTTTGGCTACAAGTAACTCAATATGTGAGAGAAAGTCTAGCTCGTATTTGCGTTGGCAGAGTGTTATGCCTAAGGAGGACATGAACATCTCAAAGACAAGAAAGTACTTGAGATTGCTCAAGCCCCTGCTACTAAATTTATTATTTAAACAGACTTTTATATGTTTTATTTCTGAAATGTGGTTTCTTGTAAGAATAAGTTCATTAACATATACAGGGATGCCAGTGAAATAAAAATCATATGTTTTGGTAAATAAAGAGGAATCACATTGGTAGTCTTTGAATAAGGAAATATGTCAGGCAAGTACTGGTTGCGAACATAATATTCTCGGGACTCTATGAAACTGACTAGGGAGAGCTAGGAGTTAATGTCATTTTTTCTCTAGCAGTGACGCCATCAGAATCCTCCCTCACTATAACGACCCCATGGTCATCACTGTGCAACATAAAAAGAGGATATCAAACAAGTCTTTATAGAACTAGGAAACTCAGCTGACATCCTATTATGGGATTTTGTCTAAAAACTCCAGCTCAATCCCAACGACATCAAGGCATTCCAAGGATCATTGGTAGGATTTTCAAGCAAACAGGTGCAAGTAAAGGGTCATGTAGCCATCAATTTTTTTTTTAGTGTGGGATCAAGCTCTAAGGAGATTGAAGTCAGCAACCTCACAGTGGACACTTTAACATAATTATGGGCACTACCGCCATCAATATATTAGGGCCCATTATTTCCACCTAGTACCTGGTTCTAAATTACCATCTACCTAAGGGGAAAGTCAGGACAACTTGAGGAACCAGCAAAGTTCCCAAGAATGTTACTAGAGAAGCTTGTCGATGAGAAAGGAAGTCCTGATAGGTCCTTCATCCCACTAGGTGACAATGATAGCTGGGATTCTAGAGTAGGCGGGAACAATGAGAGAATCACACCCACATAGAACCTAAAGGAAGTCCTGATAGGTCCATCATCCCACTAGCCGACGAAGATAGGCACCTCGCTTACTGAGAAAGATGAGCGCGTACTAGTCAACCAACTCATTAGAAACGTTGACTTCATCCCACATATCTTCAGGACTACCAATGTGTGTCATCGCCCATAATAGACACCAAAGTGATGTGTCATCGCCTCACCATTAACCCTTCTGCCAAGCTAGTGGCGTAGAGGAAGCAAAACATGGGCGAGGAGAAGAGAGCCACCATTGAAGAAGAAGTAGGCAAGCTATCAAGCATTGGGTTCATCTAAAGACAAAATATCAAACTTGGTTAGCCAACATAGTGCTATTGATGAGATCAACGAACAAGTGGTACATGCATGCTAACTTCCGCGATCTTAACACAACCTGCCCTAAGGACCCATACCCCTGCCGAATATTGACCTCCTGAATGATGGGTTCTTGGGCTATCACACAATGATCTTTATGGATGCCTAC